AGCTCGCTGGGCTCACACACAGCCTCACTTCAGGAGCAGCTCGCAGCACCCCTGCTGGGCTCACACACAGCCTCACCTCACAGCACGGTTGTGTGGCATGGCTTCCTGGAGAGGTGGCTGGGCTCACACACAGCCTCACCTCACAGCATGGTGTGGCATGGCTTCCTGGAGAGGTGGCCAAACCCCTTATACAAGGTGCGATGTTACATATCGACAGCCCCGAGCACACACTTGTTCAGGATTCCCGCGTGAGCTGCCTTGGCTGCCCAAGCACACCTCTGACTGGGGAAAGTACCAAGAAGTGAGACTGTTCAACTGGTTTTGGTTATCCTAGTCACTATGTCATGTAATTTTAGTGTACTTAATAGCTTCTAAGAGCTGGTAATTACAGAAGAACATCCTTGCTGGCTTGCAATTTCTTCCTCGTGGTGCTTGTGTACATACGTAGTTGTTGCTCTGAATCTTATGCTTGAAACAACTTCAAACGTGAGCAAATAATATCTCCAGTTTTGTTGAGCAGAGAAGCAACATCAGCTCTCTAAGTAAACACAGGCCTATCAAAATGAGTGTGATTGTGTACTTCTGTAACATGGTAAGCATTTGTGAGTCTTGGTTCGACATGAAAGGGCTACCGATATATGTCTTCTTAACTTATATAATACTTTGGCTTTTACTTAAAGGCACTGTGTTGTTTGTTTGTTCTCTTTTCCCGCTGCTCTCCTCCCCAGATCTAACTTCTCATCTGCTTGGCTATTAAGGCTAAGCTCAGTAGAAACCCAGCTACTGCCTGCAGTGAGATTTTTTGTAGGCTTCTAGTTAGCCAAATTTTGTCGCTGTGCTAAACTTCAAAAACTAGAATGAAAGTGTTTAGATCCCCATTGATGCCTTCTCATCTCCAAGATAACTTCATTTTCCTTGTTCAGATCTCTTTCCAGATAAACTTCTCAAAGACAATGCAAAGGCATCTGCATCCTAACCTATAATTTTCTTTCACTGGAGTAAGTAACTTACAAGTCAGCAGCGGTTTTCTGGAGGAAAAACTGGGAACCAGTAGAACTAGCTGCAAAGAAGAAATTGCAGTATATAAACAGGCCACCGACAACAAAATCAAAGCATCTTCTTCTTGCCCTGCTTTCTAGCCAGCCCTACAGGCCTGTTTGTTAGTAGCTAAGCAGGAGCTCTCCGGATCACGGGCTGCCGGCGCTGGGCAGGTTGCACCCTGCGCCCGCAGGCATCAGGAGGAGGTTTGGGCTTTGTCCCCGTGGTGAGGCTGCTGCCCAGCCGTGTCCTGTCGAGGGGTACTTTGTTGCATGTGTTCACAAGAGCAGCTCTGAGCTATCATCCCTAGCTGAATAAGCCCATACTTTTTCAGGTGTCATTTTCTCTCTCCCTTTTTTTCTGCTACCAGGAGAGAATACTTTGTGTATTAAAAATGCTTCCAAGTTTCTACTATGTGGCAGTCCATTTTAGGCTTATCAAGGCACAATGTTTCCCCATTTAAAACTGTTTAACTTTTAAAAACAGATTTTAGTTTAGCATAATGAGTTTTGATGTACTGACAAATAAATTAAAACTTGTTTCTCCATAAGACTATGTGATGGACTATCTTAACTTCAAGAACTTCAGCTTGGGGATCTTGACCTTGAGGCAAAGTAAAGAACTGAGGTAGATTTAGATAAAGAGAGTGGACTTATTCTTTTTTTCAAAGTATTAGTTTAGAAACATTAGAGTTTTTTCAATGTCATCTGAACACACTTAATTAAAATAGAACAGATTCACCCATTAAATATGTTCTTACGTTACTAGGCTTCAGCCTGAATAAATCACTTTCCTGATTGTGATTAAAGTTGTGCAGAGGATTTTTATCACTCTTTAGAGAACCTGCTTAGGTTACACAGTCTCAGTAGTGGAGGGTTTTGATTCCAGTCCCTTGCTAGCTTGATTATACTGTTCTTATCATCATGTTAGGTTATGACAAACTCTGAATGGTAATGCATTTTTTCTATGACTTTAATATTAATTTTTCTTTTAATTTGCATATTCCTAGAGATTCTGAGATTCTTGCAGAGTGTTCCAAATGCATGCCAATGAAATGCATGAGCTGATGCTGCTACATTGGTGAGTGGTGTCCTCCTCCTGTCTGATCAGACT